GTAAATTGTTGAGCAAGTGGTGAAGCTATTTTGGAATAAGAGGTAAATTTTCTATGCATTCACTGTCCTTGACTAAACAGTTCTGTGGTATAAAGGGTTAGTAAATCAAAAATCATACATACGTATATATGTCAAGGCAGATTCAGTTGTATTTTAATAAAATACTGAATATATTATAGAAGTCTGTCCTCTCTGTAAAAATCTATCAGATCAAGGTAATTTGTGATGATGAAAGGATACACTGGTTGATTTTTTACTATTGCATTATTAGTTGTATTTCATATAGGGGAATCTAAGTTTATGAATGTTAATGTAGTGAGACAGGTAGAAAGGAGGGATCTTGTTCTGTTGTTCAGATGGGAATAATTCTTAAAATACAAATAGAAATTTGTTTGAATTTTCTGTATTAAAATATATTATCAGCAACCTTCTGTTTCTAGAAGCACTTTATCTGAGTAAAAATAATTCTCAGTTTATAAGGAACATCTTTAAATGTTTACGATATTTTTTAAAATAGAAATTAAAAAAAAAATAACCCAACCTAGAAAAGCTTTACTTGTTAACTGGCTCTTCAGAAAGCAATTGTTTTCAAATGTTGTTTCATTTCAGCTTTGAAATCATGTGTATGTGCAATATATTGTTTACATCCTCTTTCTATATATCCCTGAATAGCCATAGAAACAAAATATTCAAGAAAAAGCTTTCAAAAGTCATATCAGAAAAGCTGAGACAGTAACACAGATCTGAATAATAAATAAACTAAACAAATCTAAGCTAAGGTAGAAGAGTCATAATAACACCCCCTCCCCTTTTTTTTTTTTCTTAATTGTGATGAAAAATAACACAGTGTAGTTAGAAGTAGCATTGATAACACATGCGAATTTGTGTTTCAATCACTCGACAGAGAATGGTTTAATTTGATTGTCTTTTCTATTCTTAAAATTACAAAAATAGGGATTGGGACATTTGCCAGGTCACTAATATGATTCAGAAAACTGTTTTTTCCCCTGAAGTCATACTTTTACTTTGTAAATGTGGAGCAACTTTCATATTCACTGTATTTTCATGACCTTTTTTTATTTTCTTTATTTTTTATTAATAATCAGAATGGCTATAAAATCTTTTTCTTCACTGCTACCTTCAAGACTTTTCATATGGAGTTGATCATGCAGGTCTTACTAAAATCAATCAAACTAGGCACTCATTCCTTAAGTCATTCCTTCTTTTGTTGACTGCTTACAACTAAGTTTAGTAGGTGTTGTTACTGAAAAAAAGTACGGAGAAAACATGGATAAGAAAAACCCTTTCGTCTGATGGTAAGTAGAAAATTTAGCTCAAAGACAATAAAATATCAGCATGGTGTGAATATTCTTGGATTACTGTTGTGTGCAGTAGAAAGCATGACTGCATTTGACCTCAGATCCTACTTTTTGAATTGTCCTTTCCCAGTTTATTTATCCTTTTGTCTGTCTGGTGGAACTTCAATGCTTCCTAACGTAGCTTCATTGATTACCTATGAGGTAAAAATGATGGATCTTCTAAGCAATTGAACTTCTGCTCTGCTAAGGACACACAAGTTTCTCTTTGCCTAAATCACATCTGAGTTTGACTCCAAGACTTTTCATCCATAAAAAACTGCTTTCATTTGATCCATAGGCTGCTACAACTCCCCATCTTAACAAAGGAGAGCTATGTGTGAGGTACATGCTAAGACATGAACCTGCAATTCAAAGGAATTCTGAGTATGAATCCCGTGGCAGCACTTAAAAGCCTCTGTTCTCGAGAAGAAGAAATAAGAAGATTTGTGCCTTTCTTTAAACCAAGGTCTAAAGCAAAACGTTGGTGTCTCTCAAGAGGCTTCATTCTCATATAGTTACGGGAATTGATGGTTATAAAAAGTCAATGAGGACAGGAAGGAGGGCCACAGCATACACATCAGGGAAATATATACAGTGGTATTTGTATTCCTGGTGCCAATATTCAGTAAGAAGTAAAAAAAATAACACAGACCAAGCGTATATTTATTGTGCTGTTTCCAGACTTAATGCATAAATCAGGAGCACAGTACATCGATAAGGAATAGAAATTATTAAGGGTGTGATTGTAATCAGACAGGGAACTGTGAAAACACTACGTGATGCTTCATATTGGCTTGTCTTCAAAGGCATACCTATCAAGTCTGTTTCTGTTTGATGAGTCTAACCGCTGAGCCTGTATTCCTAACTTGGAATTCCGGTTGTGTTAGTTTTATTTCATTCATAACCTGCACAAGTTTGGCAGCTGAGTGAAAGATACATTAAAAATGTATCAACTTCTTCACATATATTACTCTGGGGCACTGTCTTTAGAGAAAATGTGTCTTGTCACCTAAACTGTGATGCAACTACACAAAGCCCTTGTTTTGTCATTTAGCACAGAAAATAATTGATTTAATCTAGTCTTTAAACAAAATATAATTATTAAACAAGAACTGGTGGAAGGCAAACAGGCACAGGACTAGGGAATATAAAGAAAAAAACATATCACATATACACAGTAGTTTTTATAACTTTTAAGCTAATTCAACTTCTGGTCACACATAGTTTTATCAGAACCAGAGCAAAGGTACATGGGCCACGAAGTTTGGAAAGGTTAAGAGTCAGGTGTACTCCGTGTTTTTTGTTTGATCTAATTTCGGTGTAATGCAATGTTGTCTTGTGGTAGGGTCCCTCAGAGCAAACAGAGTCAAAAGGGGTAAGAGTTATGCACAGAGATATCATTCACACGTGCCTGTATGGGAAATTTCCCTTCATAATGTTGGACAGCTTAGTACAGACGTAATTACAGCTCTCTTTCTGGAGCTGTACGAGGTGCAGGGGCTGCAGGGGGGTCTGTGAGGGGAGGCCGGGGCTGCCCTATGCAGGACACAGTCGGTTCCAACCGGCTCCAACCCACCTGTGGCAGGGCACGGCTGAGCCCACAGCCGAGGGGGGTGCCCCTCAGCAAGTGCACGAACAAGAAAGGACAGAAAATGCCACGGGGAGATACTGGGGGTGGAGGGAGGAGCAAAAAGAGTGAAAAGTAACATTGGGAACAACAAAGTGCGGAAAGGCGGAAGAGAAACAACAGTAACTCAGTGGTGGAAAGTGATGGAGCACAGAAAGGGAGAGTGGAGATGCAGAAGGAAACTGCTGCCTCCTAAGCACAATGCCTAGTGGTTGCCTCATGGAGGTAACTGAGTGTTACTTGCAGTGATATAAAGGGGGGAACAAGCGGTACTTGGGGTGATGAGGAGCCTGGGAAAAAGGGAGAACAATAATTGAACATTCATATTACTTAGCAATAAATGAAGATCGTTTCACAAAGTTGAATCTGTTTTGTCCACCATAGTAACTGGTACTTGTCTCCTGTCTTTGCTCCCTGTCTTCATGTCAATCCAGAAACCTTCTCATTCTTGTTCTGTTTTCTCTCCCTTCTCTCTCTCTCTCAGTGTTAGCCAAGGCTTACCCACCACAGGTACAAGCATTTTATCTGCACATAGTGCCAAGGAGGAGCAAGGCCAAGAAAATAAAGTCATTTGTGTGTAAATATTGATATATCTCTGTATGTTTATATATATATATATTTAAGGAAAAATGAGAATGTTAATCTCAGTCTATGTCTCTTAAATCAGTAGAACAGTTTTACAAACACTGCCACAAACAGGAATAATTTATTTATGTTTTATTTGAACCAATCGAAGAAAGCAGTAGCAAGTACTGTATCCAGGAAAAAAGATAAGTTGTTAGGAGGGAGGGGTTGTTTGTTTTCGTTTTGTGTTGGGGATTTTTTTTGTTGCTGTTTTTGGCGTTTTTTTACAGATAATGTAGATTAGCTGGTCTAGTATCATGGTATTAAAGACCTCATGAGAAATTACCTTTCACCTGTGTGATGATATCTTCTCAGCAAGTATTACTTCAGTTTGGATAATTCAAATATTTGCTTCTTTCCTGCTAGAAAGATGATATCTTCTGTTCCTGAGCCAATATATAGAACTAGGAACAAATTCAGAAAATTTATCACTTATTCAATATAAATTGGATTTATGTTAATTGTGGATGTCTTTAAGTCCAAAATTTGTCATAGTTCTAGCTGAAAGCCTACTTGCTAGTAAAGGAAAAAAGAAAAAAAGATAAACTTTGAAGCAATTGTAAAAGCAAATGAATATTTTTCAAATTTGTAAGTAAGTCCAACAAAGTACAAGAAAAGTAGTAGAAGCATAAGAGAGATTTAAACTAAGAAACCATACATAAAAGTTAGCTTTGATCAGGCATTTGACAAAATCTTTCTAGAGAGGCATAATCGTATGAACAATTATAGATATCTATTCATCCTGTAGCCAAGAACAAAAGAAATGTTATGCATTTAAGATCCCCATACTAACATAAAAAGAAAGGGTTGATCCAAATAACTGGAATACTGATCCATTTATTCATATTAATTTATATTTTCTGAATATCTAAAGTGTTATTATTTTCTATCCTAGAAAATGCAAGTTCTGTTCCCCTTATTTCATAAAAATATTTTAATCAAATTTATACTGTTTAACAGAAAGGTAGCATCATAGTGATAATGATGATATAAGGTCAACTTTATAGCAATTATTTCTAAGAAAATATTAATATATTACTCATTTGTTCATTCATTCAATTTAGCTTTAATACTTTTAGTTTCACTTTGCATCTATGAAGAAAAGCTGGGTATTTTATCATATTTTCCTTACCTAAACAAAAGTGCAGATGGTAAGACCCAGAGAGAGATTTTGTGTAAATGTTTTTCCACAGTTTTTTACATAGAATAGTAGTTTAGTTTCTAGTTATTAAAAAAAAAAAAGTTATTGCTTAGGTTATTACTCCAAAGACATGCATTATTTAGGCAGTACAACAGCAACTATGATTTTTATGTAAATTTTTCTTTTCACAAGAGGTGAAGCAAATTCAATAGAACAAATAACTGTGAAATACTGAACCAGAAGACACACAAAAATCATGTGCAAATGAAATTTATTTTAGATATGAAAGAGTGGATGTGATCAGAAAGAATGTTGAAGAAGTGCCCTGTTCAGAAAGATGTTAATGGTCAGGCATATAGTAGCCAGATGACAATTATATTTGATCGTGGTTCTTTGAGTCAATTCACCAAAGTTCAGGCAACTGTAGACTGTAGAACTGTTAAAACAAACACCAAATAGTTGCAAATGCACCAAATTCTGTCACACACTTCGTCAGCAAAGGAATGAAGCTTTACTTCTGAACCTGGTTTGGAGGCTTTGATTCTCACATTGAGAAGCATCAGCTGGAAGACAGCTTGGAGAAGCATACTTAGAGACAGAAAGTACTGTTTCTCCAGGATGAGTCTGACTTTTTGTTTACCCACAGAATTCAAAGCTAATACAGACCAAATAAAAATCTTGGAACATAATTTTGGAAAAAATGAAGCAACAAAAGTAAAAATTTCATTTTGGCCTAGGATGCAGCAGGACTCAGTCAGACGGCACCCATCAGGCCTGGCCTGATCTATGCCTGCATGAGTTTACATTTAAACATTAAATATGTTCCCCATCAGCTCAGAGCTGTTAACCAAAACTACCATTCAGTGGTGGGTAATTTCTCTGATGCTGCACTGCACTTGATCTTTGCTTCTTCAGCTACAGCTGACAGTTGAAGAAACACCTAATTTGCTGCAATCATGCTACAGAATTTCATGGAAACATGCAATTGTTCATAGTGGACAGGTAAAATCATTTGTAGCTAAAAATGAGGGAATAAACTTCTGCAACTGATGTTGGTGAGACTTACCTAGGGAATGGATGGCCAGTATCAAACCTAGCTGCCTAATACTACATTGAAAGTAGTTACCCCCTTAATACAGGCATTGACTGTTGGCCTTCTGATCATTTTATAATCAATCTAAATTAGAAGACTTCTTAATTTTATTTATGAAAACAAAAAAATTCAAAATCTAAAAAATTTTTGTAGGATGATTTTTTTTTCTGACTTAAGAGGTTAGTGACTGCTTCTAAAACAGTCAGGAGACACTGCACATTGCCTTGTAAGAGCAAATATACCTTCTTTAAGAACTCTTCTTGGGAACAGTTAGTCTGTAACCATCCTCGAATCTAGAATGCTGAGTGATCTGAGGCTGGATAGCAATGAAATAAAAAGGAGAGAAAAAATTATACTTTAAAAATAGAATTGGTACCAAAAATAATGGAAAAATACTCTTAAAGGACAAAAATGTATTCAGAGTACTTCATTTTAGATAAGAAACCACACAAATGTTAAGAAAAATAAAAATAAAAGAGTTCAAATATTTAAATTCTGAGATTATTGTAAATCAGTTTCCAAAGAAAATATATGAATTTAGAATATAAATTCCTTTAAATGCATATATAAGGTACAGAAGTATACATATTGATATAATAAATGTAGGCAAATTCTTGGACTATATTATCAAGTAAAAGGACAGTCAGTGGAAATGGAACACAATAATTTTTACTACGATAAGATGATAGTTTGAGAGAGCATTGATCCAAATCCATAACCATTACATAAAATTTGTATTCAAAAACACATTGTGGATTCAATTAAAAAAAAACTTTTAATGTTTAATTAATTAAACTTTTGTGGCACTATAATTTATAATGAGAGCTGAGATAATCTTAATTTCCCAAGGGTCTGAGATGATCTGAATCTAAACTAAATATGCAAGTTTCAAGTAACTTTTCTTTTAATAGCTACTTGTTTTAAAATATGAAGGTAGAGCCTCAACAACAGTTTTTTGCAAGGTCTCTATAAGAATAGTACACCCTGCTAAATTCTGAAGGAGTTCAAACAGAGTATTTTTCCAGTGATTTCCAGCTCTTCAAAGAATAAACCTTTCCTGGCCTGAAAGCTCTCTGTATAATAAACTAGCCAGTTTTTGAGGGAGCCTCTGGCATTGGAATATGGTTATAAGAGGTCACCTTCATAATATGGAAATTTTCAAAATTCAAAATCAGTTTGAGCGGCAAGAAAGTCTTCTAAAAATCCCTTACCTTATTAAATCTGTGAGTAGAAATTCTCCCCTTCACAGTAACCCACTCAGGGATAAGGAATATTGTCATGGTGATGAGGTAGAAATAGTTTCCCCAAGGCATTCTCAGCAACATTCTTTATGCAGTGTGAATTTTCTGGAAAAAATTCTCAGTTAGAATAAGGACTGTCCCATATTTATACACCTAAGAATTTTTAAAAATACAACAGTATCTGGAAATTAATATTGAAAATCCACAGAGGTGGCAGAAGAATAAGCTTAAATATAATTTAAAAGCATAAGTTCTCCCATCAAGTCAAATATTTGGGACTTGTACAATGGTTTTTTAAGAGTACCTAACTAAAAAAAAAGTAAAATAAATTGTCTATACCCTCCCACGTCTCTTCAACACTCACAAGCTGTAAAGGTGAAGTTTACCACACAGAATATTCAAAAGATTTAGTCAACTGGAAAACATATCTTGATACACTGGAGAGATCCCTAATCTCTCTTGAGCTGTTAAAGCTACAAAAGTGAAAAATTCTAATAAGAAGAGATACTTGCATTTAATAAGAATTTACTAATTTTAATCCTAGCTACCTCCCTTCTCCCTTGTGTTAGCCTATTCATTTCTGCTAATATCCATATTATTGTACACCAAACCCATAAATATAAAAATGTTATTCAAATATGTCAGAAATGTTCTGCTGGGAAGTCTGTGGGGCATTAAGACATTCAGGGTAAAATAAAGAAAAGTCAAAAAAGATAATACAGTGTTAATTATATTCTTTATCTCTCTGTTAATGTGGAAGAAACCGAGGAAGTTCCCATATTGGAAACCTTTACAGAGAACTCAGAGAAGGTGTAGAAATAAAGTGCCTCTGGAAGTGAAATGCTAAAATAGAAACTAGAAAGCAAATTTATAAAATGAAAAACAAATCCCAAGGACATCTCAGCTGATATTCTCTCATCACTAGCCTCTCCCTCTTTCATCCTTATTAATTTATAAGATTGGGGGGTACTGTCAAACTACACAAAATTGTGCTCAGTATTTGCTTATTACCCATAAATCCTTTTTGTTTTTTTTTAATTTACTGAATCATTTTATGTAATCATTCTCTTTTGTAAAAGTCATCAAAAGCTTCAACTCAAAACGCTTTAAATATCTGAAACAATGGCTGAAGGAGGCAAATACTAAGTAAGTTTCAAGAGTTATATAGGAAGTGTGAAGCTCCTCACTCTCCTCTGAAAAAATAAGCACTCTCTTTCTGTTTTCCAACTTGCTACTTTTGTTTGCAGAGTTTCATTGTTAATGGATGTGCTGCTTTTGGCTGTGGTAGAAATATTTTTCTTCGCAGTGGTTGGTATGGGGCTGTGTTTTAGATTTATGCTGAACACAGGGTTGATAATACAGAGATGTTTTTGTTATCGCTGAGCAGTGCTTACACAGAGCCAAGGCCTTTTCTGCTTTTTGTACTTCCATGCTGCTAAGGAAGTCGGGGGTATATGGGAGGTTGGAAGGAGATACAGCTGGGACGAGTGACCCAAACTGACCAGAGGGATATTCCATGCCATATGACATCATGCTCGGTATATAAAGTGGGGGGAAGAAGAAGAAAGGGGGAGATGTGTGGAGTGATGGTGTTTGTCTTCCAAGTAAACATTGTACATGATGAGGCCCTGCTCTCCTGGAGATGGGTGAGCACCTGCCTTGACATGGGAAGCAGTCAATTAATTCCTTGTTTTGCATTGCTTGTGTGTGCAGCTTTTGTTTTCCCTATTAAACTGCCTTTATCTCAATCCATGAGTTTTGTACCTTTTACCCTTCCAATTCTCTCCCTGACCTTACTGGTGGGGGAGTGAGCAACCAGCTGCTTGGGGCTTGACTGCTGACTGAGGTTAAACCGAAACAATAGACCAGGCGGATTTTAGGAGTTAGGAGATGGTACTGAAACCTGTGGACTCAGGTAAGACAGTTCATATAAATTAGGTACTTTACACCAACATGCAGTAGTTTATCCTAGGGTCCTTACATAATTCTGGAAAGGCTCTAGAAAGTCTGTACTAGAGCACAGTACAGCTCTGCTAGTTCTTTCACAATATTTCAATAATCTGAAGTTCTCTCTCCTTTCCTTTCCTTGGACGCCGCTTTCTTGTTCTATATCTCCTACAATGTCAACAAAGTGAATCTCTTCATGTGTAGAGTAATGCTGGGATATATGGGCATGACCAAAAGAGAGATTATGGTTATTTCCCCCCAGAGATGTGAGAGAAGAAATTAATTAAAGTGATCTTTGTTTTCCCTTTTGTGCACAGTTTCAGACTTTGGAAGTAATCTCTTTCCATTGACAATAATTAACAACCTTAACAAGGATCCCTGGAGAGGGCTTTTCTAATTGAAAAGACTGTATATAAGTGGAAAGAAGGAAAGAAGGTCAGTTTGGGGTTTTGGGTGGCTTTTTTTTTTTTTTTAATGAAAGCATGCATAAATGGAATTCACTTGATGAGTTTTTCACTATGTCAGATGCAGGATCACAAATCATGGTGCTGTCTTCTAAAATGGATAAAACTCTTATTTAACTTACATCTGTAATGAAACCACATTACTGTGTAGCATGGAGTATCTTAAGATGATGATAAATCACCAGTGCTGAAGAGACAAAAGGGGTATAGTATAAGGGACAGGTTCTTTTCACAGACTCAGAAAACAAGGAGACCAAATTGAATAATTTCCTGAGCATACTAAAATACAGATCTATGTGACAGGGTCTCTGTGAAATGATACTGGTTTGGTTCCTAATCAATAGAGAGCATTGGTATCTGGTTGATTTATTAAACTCATTCTTGTGAAATCAGTTTTAATTTGCTGAGAATCTAATTGCATTTATTGTATGATGGTGTCAGGGTGCTTTGAGCCCTGGACAGGCCTTTGTAATAATTTACATCTGATTAAAAGAAAAAAAATAATATTTTAAGAACTCAAAATAAAACAATTCTTGAAATATGGGGAGAAATTATATCTCTGCTCTAGGAGGGCTCCTCAGCACAAGAGAGACATGCAGCTCCTGGAACAGGTCCAGTGGAGGGCAGCAAAGATGATTAGGGGACTGAGGTAAATAAATCTCTTACAAGGAAAGGCAGAGAGAGTTGGTCCTGTTCAGTCTTGAGAAGAGAGGTCTGAGAGGAAACCTCATCAATATCTTTAAGTATCTGAAGGGAGGGTGTCAAGAAGATGGAGTCAGGCTCTTCTTGGTGGTGCCAAACAAAAAGACAAGAGGCAATGGGCAGAAACTGATGCAGAGGAAGTTCCATCTGAATGTGAGAAAGAACTTCTTTACAGTGCTGGTTACTCCACACTGGAACATGTTGCCCAGAGGGGTTATGGAGATCTCCTTCACTGGAGATATTCAAGAACCACCTGGACACAATCCTGTACCATATGCTCTAGGATAACCCTACTTGAACAGGGAGGTTGGACCAGATGACCCAGTGCGGTCCCTTCCAATCTTAGCCATTCTGTATTCCTGTGATAGACATTGTTAAAAAATCATTGTTAAATTATTATTTTTTTTTACTGCAAAGACAGTAGGAAATTCTAGGTTGAAATATTTCCTGTAGAAAAGCTATTGCTATTTTGCCTTCTGATCATTGAATTTAACATAATGTTTTCAGGAGCCTTATGCTTACTTAGCCCATCTTTCACATATGTATTATTCCCAGTACTTTAAATTGTCTCTAAGCAGGATGAATCTGCCAAATCAAACATGAATTCATAAATATGTATATTTTTCCTTGTATCAGAACTGATTGGGATAGGGTTGACTTTGCCTGTAGCCCACACAATTCTGTACTTTTTATTTGAGGCTGAGATGATGTTGATAACACATTGGTGCTTTAGAAATTGCTGAGCAGTGCTTGTGCAGCATCTAGGTTGTCACACACACACTTGTACACACATACACACTCATAGGTGAGGACAAGGGGTAGTGGCAAAAGGCTGGGAGGGGACATAACTGGGACAGCTGAGCCAAACTGACCAAAAGCATGTTCCACATAACAATAAAAGCTAAGGGAAAGCATGAGAAAGGAGGGTCACAGGGGATTTCATTATTACGATGTCAGTCTTCTGAAGAAAATGCTACATGTACTGAGGCCCTTCTTACCTGATGATAGATAGTTTTGCTTTTGTGTACACCCTTTTCATCTTATGTTAGACTGTCTTTACCTCAACTCATGAGTTTTTCTTCTTATTTTCTCACCCTTCCCCACTGAAGATAGGGAGTTAGAGAGTGGCTTGGTGGGCATTCAGCTGCCAGCCAAGGTTAATCCAACATATGGGTCAAAAAACCAAACCAAATATCCCAAACCAATACCCACCTCTACTTCCTGCATGAAAACCACAGATTTAGGATTACCTATGATATAAAAAATGGAGCACTTTTAGGACATTATAAGACTAGGGGCCACAGACTGTCCACTGTTCACTAAACATGCAACCCTTAAAGCATCAGAAGTAGCCATTTATGGAGGGGGAAATCTACAGAAAACTGCTCAAGATATGAAAATTAAACATGAGACTTTAAAATCCCTGTCCCTTCCATTCTCTTATGCCATGGTTTAACCTGACAGGCAGCTAAACACCGCAAAGCTGCTCACTCATTCCCCCATCCCCCTGTGGGATGAGGAGAAAATTGGAAGGAACAAAAAGTAGAACTCATGAGTTGAGGTAAAGATGGTTTAACAGGACACAAAAGGAAGGTAATTAATTACAACGATAAAGTAATTAGAACATATGAAACTAGTAAAGCACAATGCAATTGCCCATCCCCCACCAACTGATGCCCAGCCCATTCCCAGGACCTAGGTCAGCTTTTGCCTTAGGTTTATATGCTGAGCATGACATCAAATGGTATGGAACATACCTTTGGCCACCTTAGGTCTGCTGTCCTACTATGTCCCCTCACAACTTCTTGTGTACCTTCAGCCTCCTCACTCGTGACATGGTGTGAGAAGCTGAACAGTCCTTAATTTAGTGCAAGCTCTGCTCAGTAACAATAGAAATGTTGTGTTATCAACATTATTCTTACCCTAATTCCAAAACACAGCACTGTACCAATGACTAGGAAGAAAATTAACTATATCTCAGCTGAAACCAGGACATCTGGTCATATAACAGCTGTAATGTCTTCAGGGAAACCAAATTTGTTTGTCAGTCGGTTTATCAACTGCAGATGAGACTGATTGCATAATCTCTTCCCACCTGTATCAAACAAACTAACCAAACTTTTCAATTATTTAATCATTTCATTCAAGTCTTGTTAAATCTGATTTTCAATGAATCTTAAGTCCTCATCAATGCATAGAAAACATATTATAAATATTTTTTTAATTATTACAAAAGTAAACAGTATATACTTAATTTCAGCACAAAAATATACAGAAAAGCCTACATGCATTCATATAAATTATGTTAAGGAATACACTATTTTATATTTTCACAACATGTAAAGTGTCTGTACTGTTTGATTTTAGGTCCAAGGTACCTACAGTTTAATTCCTTGAATGCTAGAGACTGAATACACTCAGTACAATAAACATATCTCAAAATTTCTTGTTATGCATACTCATTCACGCAGTTATTCTTCTTGTAAACATTTCATAAGTTTTGACTCACGTTCTTTAATTTTTTTCATTTTTTTAATGGAAAATATACTGTGACATAGTGTAAGTAGCTACAGCTTTTGCCCAGCCTTCCTTTTATTTATAAGAATAGCACTGTCTGACATATCCTTCCTACAAATTACTTTGATATGGGTTACACGTCACACTTGTCACTGAAATCAATCATCCAGAGTTCTATCCTGGTGTTACAATATGTGTGGACATCATGTGTAGAGTCAGAGTAAGAGGGTACCAAAGACACTTCAGTGACATTTCTACCCTGAACCTTTTTAAATAAAAAAAAAGCCCCAAAAATTACTAACAAGTAAAAATATTTCCACAAAAATATCAAAAATATTGAAGTAAAAAGATTCTCTAAAGAAACTGTGAAGAAATTAATGCAATAGAAAGTAAAGAATTCAGATTTTTTTCCAATTCAATTATCTGCTGTCTTCCATGTATTTAATTTTAAAATCAGTTTTATTATAGCGTTGTTTTGCTGACATTTTGGTTGTGGGGGTTTTCTTGTGTTTTTTATCTAACAAGATTTCACGCTAAAATCTCCCCACTTTTTTAAATCGTCATTTTGCACAGTATTATCATAAATCTTTAACTAGGTATTAGCTCAGACTTGGGCTCTTTAACTTCTGACATCCAACCTGTTCAAAGTTAGGTGGATTCTTTTGCATAATGGCTCAAACACATCTTTCCTATAGGTCTACCTCACTTGTGCATCATTTCTCATCTTGATTATCCAAAACATTGTTTCCACTTACCTTCTGTAAAGTCCTAGGTCAAAGCTGCAAGCTGCCCAGGAATTTTACTTATATTTAAGGCTCCAAAATAATTCACCACCTAATTTTTTGTAAAGCCTTTTAGTTCTTTAATACCTTGAATTTGCATAAAGTGGACATGCTACATGTGTTTCCTAAGAGACTTCTTTTAATTTAAAGAGAAAATAGGCATTTTGACAAAAGGTTCCAGGAGCAACGTACAACCAAGCAGAAGAATCATTTTACAGAGTGCCGAACACACACCAATCTACACCAGTTAAGAAAAATGCAACAGGTTTTAAGTTACCCTCAAGAGATTACAGAAAGAGTAAAGGAAGAAAAGAGAGCAAGAAAGAAGGACTAAAGAAAGAGATTAGAATAAGAGAGAATTGTATTGGTACCACCAAAAGGTCACACGTTGATAGCACGTCCCAAGAAAAATGCAAAATAGAGCCCCTGTGCACCTCTATTTATATGGTCTGGCTGGTGTGGCCACCCCTCCCAGGTGGGACATCCGGTTCACTGACCACTCAAGGCCCTCTGGGCCAGAGTGACGGGTGGTGCAGCCAATCAGAGGCTCCAGGGGGCGTGGTGTGGGCGGGCTAGCAGGCAGACATTTTTTGATTGACAGCTGTCAGCCACAGGGCTCCTGTGCCCTGTGTATTCTGTGTGGCCATTAGGCTGAAGGTCATATGGCTCCTGATACTGGAGGCCTGGCCATAAGGCCTCCAACCTGGCTCTTCCCCAACACACACAGAGTTGGTTGATTCGACCCAATAATTAATGCAGTGAGATTAATCCAGTATCTCATACCTTCATGAAATGCAATCATGCCTTTCTGATAGCCAGCCAAAAACCTAATACAAAGCTTTTTTCTTAGTCTGTCACTTTAGTTGTATAACTCTTCTTCTACACTGTTCTATTGGCTGCTTTTCTGACAGAGGAATAGAAATAGACTTATCTTCAGAGTCAAGGATCTTACAGATTATATCAGCTCCCAATTATTATTTAATATTAAGAGAATAAGTCTTGTTTATGACTAGCAGTTGAGTCTAGCTTCATGAACTTAGGAAAAAAAAAAGAAACAATTATAATTATTATGAGACAAACTACATGAATTCCAAGAGGAGGTGGGAAATTACTCTAACCTACTTTGCTGACGTTTTAACAAATGATTCCCATGAGCACCTGCCAACACATCACATAGACTAACACAGTAATGGGTTTGGCTTTCCTTCTGACTAATTCAGTTTTCATGAAATGGGAATTAAGTCATAAGAAATATGCAAGTTCTTTGATAAGTAAAAATAGTTTAATCTTCACCTACTTTTAAATCAACTGTGTCAATACATGACCTATAAGATAATGTTTGCTGAAAAATGCTTCATTTTTCTAAATATACTCTTTGAAAAGGAAACTCTTCCTCCCTACTGCCATCTTACAGAGAAAGAGTTCCTTGAAGTATTGTTCTAGTTTTTTTTTCCTATCCATTATATCTTTTATATTAATATTATATATTTAGTCACTTATTTAAAAAAATAATTCTGCTTTCTTTTTCCCTTTACATAGCTAATAGCCTAACATAAAGACTATGACGGTCTTTATGTCATAAAAGAAAAAGCCAATTACAGTCCTCTTTCAAGCACTCCATTTCTGATCTCTCAGTCCTATTCCTCAAAAGAGAACAAATATCTAAAAGAACAGACTAAAATGCAGAACAATTTTAAATGAAAAAGAATTCAACATATATCATGGCATATCATATTTTTCCATGATCTCATTCCCTGCTGTTAAAGAATTTTCTCTGCCTTAGGTTTCCTGCAGAACTGTCTTAAACATCTGATTCCAGGAAAAAAATGAGTGGTACAGCAATAGGGACAGCTCAAGCTGTGTGTGCCAGAGAATCACAGAATGGTTCCGCTGGAAGGTACCTTTATGATCATCTGTTTCCAACCCACCTGCCATGGGCAGGGGCACCTTTCACTAGACCAGGTTGCTCAGATCTCCATCCAACCTGGCCTTGGACACTTCCAGGGATGGGATATCCACAACTTCTCTGGGAAACCTGTTCCAGTGTCTCACCACCCTCACAGTAAAGAATTTCTTCCTAATACCTAATCTAAATCTAACCTAAATCTACTCTCTTTCAGTTTGAAGTCATTCCCCCTTGTCAAATTATTTTGAACTATAGTCAGAATCACCTATATATCTGAAAACACGAGTAGTAGCTGGAATATAGGTTTGCAGTATATATGAAGATATTGTAATATATGTGAAGATCTGAAATCTGTGTGATTATTTTTACTTCAGGTAATCTCTACAACATTGGGAGCTGAAAAGTGAGCAGTTTCAGAAGCTTAGGAGGAGTAGAAGAAAACAGGAAATATTTCTCAATGGTGATCTATGTATAACAAGGAATCATGAGGGATTTTGTTTTAGTAAAAATAAACAGAAGGTGAAAAGAGGAAATAAAGGCAACATAAACAAAAATGACAAAATGAGAAATACAGAAGCAGCTTGTTCCAAACATGGCCTGTCTTGTCAAATTCAAAAATTAATCAGTTAACATGGATTGAAAACACAGTGTAAGAGAAAAAAAAAACAAACCACAAAATACTATAAGGTGCAGAGATAATGCTATAACCATGTTAGATGACAAAAGAAATGTCTAGAAAAACTCTTAGCACAAAGTGGAGTGTGCAAAGTCATTATCAGAACCTGAGACACAAAAACAAGAATTTTATCAATGTTGGGCATTATCAATATCTATAACCAAGGAACTGTTTGATGCTGCAGAAGTCTTAAAAATTCAGTTCTAAAACAAAGGCCCTGATACATAAGGCACAGCAGAATCTGTTCACATCCACTATTTTATTTTTATTGCATCTTCTGTGTTTCCTTCCACTTTCTTTGACTTCATTGATCTTATCTCTGTTATTCTGAGAATTGTATTACTCAAATAGCTGGACCTGAACATTTTACAGCTGGCATATGGCCAGCATAGGTGAATAACATAAGATGTAGAAACATGTTCTATTTTCATTAAATAGCAAAACTATCACTGTTTTCAACAGAAACAAGGTTTTGGTCACAGATAGATTTGCCTTATCAGTATTATTTCTGTGTATAAAAATCATCAGAGTGTGACATAACAGTATCTGTTAACAATCAGCGATACTTTACAATAACTGATTAAAGAATGACACTTTTTTCTCTCCTTTCCTATATTGCATAATCAATCAAAAATAAGTATCTTTGAAATTCATGGTTTGTTGGGAAAATGATTTCTTTTTTTTAAAGTGCTTTTATTATCTATTCTGGAAGTTTCCTTTAGAAACCACAAAATAAATGCCTGCTGCTCCATTAAGAAATCTCCACTTGTATTCTGCAGGCATCAGTTTTGTTTTACTCTCAAATTCCTAGTGGGGTTTAAAATTAAAATGAATGTTTCTGTTTACTTTCTAGTATATCCAAAAGCCTAATCAGTGATGTCAACACATCTCAGTGTTTCTCTATTCATGACTGATATAGGCAGTAGAGGAAGCATTGGGCACTGTTCAGTAGGCCAGTCTCTGGAGGATATTTTTTATGTTGTCAGCTGTGAACCAACTGAACTGTAATAAATAGTACAATTACTGGAAATAAGACAGCACACTGACAAGACTGAAATAATATTAAGCAGGACACTTGGCAAATACATAATCTTTTACCCAAAATGAATAGAATATGAATCAAAATGGGAATACAGCAGTATACCCAGAAATTAAAGACATTCTTGGTCTCTGAATCCCATTTTAGCTTTTTGTTTTCTAAAGCCCTTTATCTCACTAACAGTGCAGTGTTCTACCTTCCATGAGTGCCCTTGTACTCATATATTCCTGAATGTCTTCTTTTGTTAAGTTACAGCATTCATAAATGTTGGTCAGTTATCACTTAAAACTTTTCTTAAGATAATCTTTCATATGTATTTCTCCACGTGAAGCTGTCACTCCATCATTTAATCTTGATAGCTCCCTATATGGACCATTATGTTCCTCCATTCACATTGCTTATGAAGCAGCTGTTTTATATGAATCTCTTTTGTTCTCATAGTCATCGCTGTCACTAGCACAGCTGTCTTAGTTGTATGCTGCCTTTGTTGATTTCAAGTTAGTGAGTCTATTTGCATCAGTTGATAATCTGGATCTAAACCTTTGTGATCAACATAGGACAAATATTTCCTGGGGAGAAACAAATAACAGGCACTTTAGCATAAGCCTTTCTTTTAAAATACAATATAAAACATAATTTATTGATGGATTTCATTTGGAAAACAGAAAAGAAAAAGAAAATCTTCTACCTCTTCTTCTACATAGCAAATTTAAAGCATGAATCCCTAGAGAATTTGACTATTTTATATGTATATAAGAAATATTGTAAATTAAATTTTATTTCATTGTTTTATAAGATAAGCATTTACATTCCCACCATCCATAAAACACTAGACATTGCAAGTGTACCTGCCACTTCAAATAAATTCCAATGTTAGTTCTGGGAGATATGGTTTTTTTCCCCACAAATCTTAAGGTTAGAGATCTTTCAATTTACTGATACAAGTTTCCTAAAAATTCTGCATGAATTCATACTGGACATCAGAATCAGTTTGTGGCATCATTTCCTGAGATGTATTTTACAACATTCTCATGACACTAACAGAACTTACAAGGTCAGAATATTATTCAACTGTCATGATGGTTGAGAAAAACAGCCCCCATTGATGAACCCTTTAAAAGTAGCTAAGAGCCAAACAGAGAATTCAATTAATGCAGCATGCTTTTGATCAGTGTACTTGCTGGACATTAAGTCTTTAATACTGTCATTAGTACATTCATTTTCAACCCTGTTAAGGAAGTCTTACAAAAATTGTCTTAAATTTTACTTTAGTGGATTACAAATCAAAATTTTTGAAAAAAGTAAAGTATAGCAGAGGACTACCTGGTTTTTAATGCTGAAGCATACTGATATTCTAATCAGATTTCATAGATAACTTCTCTTAAAGCATGGAATAACAGCACAAAGAACCTCATTACTCTTATACATTAAGTAACTGATGAATATTTTATACTTTATAGTAAGAAAAATATTTATAAAGGTATATCTAAAGATTAAAATATATTCAACCAATATTAAACAAATTATAAACTAATATCTACTAGGAGCAGATATTTATTCTGAAAGAACACGCTGTATTACAATACAAAATAAATCACTAATGTTTTTTAGAAAAGGTATTCAGCATAACTGGGTTCTCAGTATAAGTCATATCTGTCAGATCACCTCTGACAGAAGAAAATACCATAGTTCTCAAACAGCAGAAAAGGAAGTTAGGA